TATGTATGTATGTATGTATGTATGTATGTATGTATGTATGTATGTATATGTTGATGTTGGTCGTAACGTATTTTCATGAGCCTATTGGTTGATTTGTCCCACACCCGGATAATTATTCAAGCAGCAACATATCCAGTGAGGGGAAAGAGGTACAAAAAGAGTAGTCTTCAAGAAGGCTTGGTGCCAACTCCCAAGTCCATCCGATGAGTTTGGCATCATGAAATGCATGATGCGAAAGATGCGTGTGAGGCATCTACAACGTGATCCTCGCTGTTTATGTGCCTTAGACGGCAGGGTCTTAATTCATTTTGAAGCCACCGCGCAAAGGCTTTCTAAATCGAGAGATGGACTGAAACCCAGTGGTGGTGGGGCCTCCCTATTCTACTACTCTAATGCATCGTGATGGGTTCGCACTTTTCTCAGACTTTCTCTGAAGCTGCCCATGCAAGGTGGATATCACAATGAAGGCGTGCGAGCAGTTGTGATAGCTGATGGGATGCGATGGTCTGCCAAAATTCGCCACATCTTCTAGATCTTCTAGTTGACGATGAATGCCCTGTATTTTTCTGACTGGATAGCTGGCCACGTTTGTCATTGTGTCAGTAGCAGGCTAGAACAATCAGTGAGTTGCAATTCAAGAAAATCCTCCATTGCCTTTCCACGATGTCTTCCTGAAGGGTTGATAGCTCCATAGATAGAAATTACAATGCTGGTGAACGCATGAACCGGGGCTTTCACTGGTTCAGGCAGCACGCGAGAACGAGGCGAGGACGAGTGAGCAACATGAACGAGAGTCCATCCGGGTGGCGCGACTTACGCGGGAACTGGTGAAGAGCCCGGCTTCAGATTCAGCTGTTGTTTTTGTCCGAGATTTGTTGCATCAACATCTCTTTGGACTTGGATAGAGAGAGAGAGAGAGAGGGACCTCCCGGGGCGGCTTGACATTCGTGACCAAGGAAGTTCAAGATGGCAGATGAAGCACGCCGCCGCGATATGGACAACGACGAAGAAGAGGACACCACTATTCAAATCTTCGTCTAGAATCTAGTTACTAGTTCGATCCACTGCCAGCCAGATGTACAGTAAGAAACATCTTATATATATAATGCACGTGCAGTTGGTCACACCTCAGGATGCAACAATGTCCCAGACGTTGTCTGCCCGAGAAAAGTCATCAATGACCGGTGATGATGAAGAGGGACATCCTGACGAAATCCAGATCAGCAAAGAGCTTTTTCTTCTTGTCATCCAGGCCAGGTGGCACATCGACAACTTGTGGATGCCACAATTGTGGATGCATATGGTTTAAGCGTATTTTTCTTAGTTCCTGTTATTTCCGTATTTTTTGCCCGTGGACTTGATTAAGTAAGGGCGACTAGTTAGCTTCTAGTGTTTGGATGCAGGATAGCTCACGCCTCTTCCAGGAAGCTCCCCCCGCCCGAGGGCGGCAAACAGCTTCCTTGAAGAAGCACATGCGCTAATGATTTGGTTGCTAGATTTTTAGGGAAACTTAACCCTTCTGCTGCATCTTGCTGGAGTCCGGAGTATGTATGCACTTAGTCACTTATGTATGCATTTTTATCGGAGTTGTGAAAGCATTGGCATTCTTGATAGTAGTTAATTACCATTCATTGGGATTTTTGGAATAGTTATTGCATTTACTAACCCGAGCTATGTGTAAAACATTGCAACCTGAGACCGGAGATGACAGAAGTATTTGTTTTCGAGTTACTCCTGTCCGGTTCTGTGAGGACAGGCAAGTTCAGCGGCTCATGGATGATCTAGACCTTCCCAAAGATCGTGCTAACCTTTTCGAGGCACTTGATGCCGACAGCAGTGGAACTCTTCACCTGGCGGAATTGGCCCAAGGCCTTTTGAAGGTTCGAGGAGAGCTCAAGAGCCTCGTACCTGTTTGGTCCAGTGCCATTTCATTCAGTCGCACTTCATTGGGCCAGAGACATTTGCAACTTCAGCTAGAGGCAGTCCTAGTATTGTCCGCTTTGTGATTTTTCCCAGTATGGTGTCAGAGGCTGCATTGCATATCGTGAGAAAAGCTGCTGGATGTTGGTGGTACATTGCTCCTCCTCGTCCATAGGGTGTAGTCGATTGACCATACCATACCCATGAACGGGCTTTTATTCAACAGCATGTATATACTGTAGCTAGCTGACGTCGCTGTTAGGTGGCCAGGAGGGAAATACATTGGATTGATGCTTCAGACGTTTGACCGTTTGACCTCCTCTGTTCTCTTAAATATCTTGAATGAACTCTCCCAGGGTGCTCCCAGGAGGCTCTTTGTCATCCCTTTCACGCTCTGCAGTTTGAATCAGGATGCCCACATGTGCGATTCACATCAATTCACCTGTATGTCACAATTGACTTCATACCTTGCCTTGTTCAACTCAGTTGCTCAAGTCAATTTGTTTTGCTTGTTAAGTTGTTGAGAAATTTTGTTCAATCTCCGACGGGTTCCCTTACCTCGCCTGATTTTGCGCGAGCGCACTTTGAGAGTCTGAATATGTATGAATTGTGTTATGTCTCATGTATACAATGTTATACAATATACTCTATTTTCCTGCCTGTGGGTTGCGACACAACACTTCTTGCCGGTCAATTCAGTGGGCCATGCGGAAACCAGCATGTTGGACAATGGGCTAGCATATGGGCATCAAATGTCGATAAGGATGTTGCAAGGTGCTTCATGGTGGACAGTGAGCAGCTTATAGCAGACTGACAAACACCTGACTTTTTCACCACTGCTGTTTGTGGTGGCCCTGCCTTCATTGCCCTCACTCCGCTCCTAATTTCTTTTTGGCCAAATGATGCTCCGACATGCTCCGACGAGCGTTCCTTCATGCCGACCTGGGCTGAAGTCTAAGGAAGACTGATACGGTTGCCACGCTCCTGGCAACCAAAGCGGTGTATGCGACCTTAGAGCAGATCAGTGAGCAGATATATGACCTGCGAGCAGGAGTTGCCCAAGCAACCGGCGATTCCAGCTTGGCATCTTCCAGACCTCCACCGAAGTCAATTTTTGACAAGCGGTGAATGCAGCGCAGCGTTTCTGGATGTGCGAGTCATTGATAGTTAAAAGCAATCAGGAATCCGGAATCATTATTTTATAAAACTCTTGTGGTACCACGAGGCTCAAGGCTAAGGCTGAGCGCACGCTGCTTCGTAGAAGTGATTGATTATCACACGTTGAATCACCGAACGGTGAACGTCACGCGTTGGCTGTGCGAAGTTCCACGTTTTCCAAGCGCAGTGTGGCCAGAAAGCTGCCGCCGAAGGCGCCTAACCACTGGCGGTTGAGAACTTTTGATGAAAAAGTCGGCTGCTAGTTCGGCTGCTACTTGATCTATTTCTGCCATGTAGCTTGGCAGCGTGGGGTTGCCAAGAAGGCCCTGTCATTCCTTGGGTTGAAGCTTTAGCAGCTGGTAGGTGTGGATGAACTGAAAGCTGAAGTAAAAATGTTCAGTGCAGTGCTTTCGGTGCTTGCCTGTTGTATCTCCTTTGCATGCCAAGCCTTTTGCGCCTCAAGATGGAACTACCCAGGCGGCAAGAGGCACTCTCGTGGAGCTTGAATCGTTCAGATGTGGTCTCTGGTAGATGTCAACAAATAGAATGCGTCGTTGTCTTGTTCAATATTGATCATGCTTTTGACATTAGTTTCATCATTTTTCCATCCTTGCCCAGCAGTCGAGCCACAAAGAACTTGCGCACTTCCACTATGTAATAGTTTTGTGTTTCATTCGCGGACAGGACATTTAGCGCCATTCAATTGCAAGTGAAAGGCATGTGCAAGCCGTGTTACATCCGAATCCGTAACTTGCCATATTAGTGACTTATGACGGGCCCGTAAGACCAAAACAAAATCTTTGTATGGGAATTGATCTAACAGGGCTCGACTGGTCTTTTTTCCATCGCAAAGTGTAGTCGCACTAGAGGTTCTTACGGTAAGGGTTAAGGTTAAGGTTGATTGATGGTGCTCACGGGCGGCATTCATGCTTCTGGAGCCCTGGTTGTGGCGCCGTACGCATTTTCGGACATGGTGGTCACTTTTCGTGCCAGGTGCCGGCGCAGGAGATCGGAGCCGTTTTATTTCAATCTGCAGATTTCTTGGCGGGCACAGCACTCTGGACTTGGCGGTGGTCTTTGGCGTGCTCTGAGTTGCTGGACATGTGACATTGCGGCTCGTTGGCGGTATCTTTGGAGGCACTTTTGTTGCGAAGCGGCGAAGCGCGCTGACAGGGCTGGGCGATGTGATTCTTGATGTGCAGATTTCTTTTCTATGCAGCATTTAGCCGTTATGTGAACCCCAAAGTGCCGTTTGCAGCAAGCTCGGCAATCTGTGAACCTCTATGTGTGCTCTTAAATTTCGTGGGCGAGTTGGGGAGTGCTCGTATACCCTTGCAGAGAGAGCCTTGGAGAGCATGCAGTTTCATGGAGAGCTGCAATGTCCAAAGTCTTAGATTCATATATTTTTCATCTATATTCTGGAAGAACCACATGTGGGGCACCTTACTGGTCTCGGTGACTGGAAGGAACTGTTCACGCTGCCTGTTCGAGCGACCTGAACAATTTTACGCCGCGTGAAGATATCCATTTGTTGCTCTGTGCGTGCTGAGAGAGCATCCAACGATTCTGCAGAAGTGCTGCCTACACATGTCTTGATTTTGAGTTCCATTTTGGATCACACATCAGTGCTAGGAGCTTGCCATGAAGCAAAGAAGAGGTATCGGAACCGTGGAGGTCATCAACCTTGTTTCTGACAGTGGGCCACATTGTAGCATTGGCGCATGAGAACACGTGGTACAACTGCTTCAAGCTCCCTGTTCAGCAGCAAGCAGAAGTTAGAACGCTGTGGGGTGTAGAAAGCACATGAAGCCTGCAGCCAATCGATTGCTTAGCTCGTTTGCAACGTACATGGCTATTTGCCCATGCCCGACAAGTAGACGTCATCGAGCTCAGTCAGTTGAAAGATCTTTCCTGGTGAGCGTCGACGAGCAAAGAGCTCGAGATCTAACAGCTCCATTCTTCCAAAGGTACCAGCAAGGAGGGCAGAAGGGGTTTCGATCACCGAGTCCTACTGTGTAAGTGCTGTGCCAGCCCTTGGAAGGACGCACTTCGGTGTCAAAGTCTTTGATGGCAGTTTTCCTCCATGTAGACTGCGCAGTGGGTCTGGCCCCCAGGTTAGAGTTGACAGAATCAGATGACACTCCCCCTGAATACAGGCATGGCTACTGGACTGCAGTCCGGCACGATGAGACCAACATTGGCGAAACACCTCCCTTTGCTACCTGATGGGCCGGATGCAGCCTTTAGAGAGATCGATGCAGATGCCCGAGCGGCGCAGGAGAGAAATCGCTTGAAAAAGAAAGGAAGCGCTGCCCAACAAGCAGCTCAGAGTGCAGTTTTTTGAACGTTGTGTCACGTGTCCACAGGTGTGTAAAACAGACCATATGTTTCCATATGTGCACCCATGGTTGTCCAAAACCAGAAAACGATAATAATATACATTTAACATAACTTTCCATGACCTCAGCCCACAAAAGCTCACGTGTCTACTTATATGTGTGTGCTCTCATCTCATGTGTGTGTCATTCATGTGTGAGTTCTGAAAAGAATTTTGTTCAAAAACCTCTCGGCCCCTAGTAGAAGGATGATCAAGTGTCATGTTTCATGGGCAGCATACATTTTAGATATTTGCATTATATTCGCTCAGAAGCGGGCCCCTGCCAGGCAGGGCTCTATGATTGATATGACCGCGATTTGCTACTCAATTACCAGCGATTTTTTGTGCAAGCCGCGCGCTAGCACCGCGCCAGACGACGGTGCACTCCGTAATCGGTGGCGCGCGGCTCATCTAGTTTTAAGATAACGCGGACCCAGACAGCCAGGGGTCAAGATGAAAAATAAAAAACAACAACCTACTCAAAACGAACTCAGACCAGAAACTCAGATTCCAAAGCCACTCAAATGAGAGACTCAAATTGGACTCAGATTGGACTCAAATTGGACTCAGATTGGACTCAAATTGG